CAAAGTTTCTATATAAGGATTTGATACAAAGTTCCCATACGGGGCAGGTTTAGGTTGGATATTAGGAAAAACTTTTTCACTAGGAGGGTGGTGAAACACTGGAATGCGTTACCTAGGGAGGTGGTAGAATCTCCTTCCTTAGAAGTTTTTATGGTCAGGCTTGACAAAGCCCTGGCTGGGATGATTTAATTGGGGATTGGTCCTGCTTTGAGCAGGGGGTTGGACTAGATCCCTGAGATCCCTTCCAACCCTGATATTCTATGATTCTATGATATACCAAGGCTCAATACAAAGTTTCAGGAAAGTTATGCAAAAATACTTAATACAGAGATTTATCTGCACACTGAAACCCATTAGTGTATAGGAGTTAGCCTGCACTGTTACACTGAAAGCTACTCAAAATGTCAGAGTATTTTTCTAGATGCACATTTCAAACTAATGAATGGGAGTTTCTTCCAGACTCTGAAAACAGCAATAGGGCCTCACTTCCTCACTGCTTTGCTGTTTGTTTTTATTCTTATTAATCAGCTACTGGCCACTTTGCAACACTTCCTGTCACCTTTCAGTTGTTTCTTCAACTCATCCTTCAATATCAGTTATTTTAACCCTAATACGAGTCATCTACTTTTGCCACTTAGAGACTATTAGAATGTACTGTATGTGTCCAGTTACAAGACAGTGCTAAACACGCAACTAATCGGCCATGTCTGTCAGATAACCGTACTAACACCCACCCCATTTCCAAACAAGACACAGCATCTGCCTGCTGTGGAATTTATAGCACCAAAAGCATTTCTGAAATGTATGTCTAAGATGAAAAGCAAGCCACAGGCTCTTTGTTCTGTGTTTGTAAAGCACCTAGCACAAAGGAGCCCTAGTCATGGATGACCACCAAGGTGCTACAATAAATAAATAAGGAGTAATACTGCCCTGTTGTAAGCGATATACATCCCACCTTTCCTCACACCCCCCGCCCCCCAAACTTTTAAAGCACCCACTTGCACTCATTTATTTAGCTGTATAACAGTGATCAGCTTGGCCAAAAATCATATACCACTCACAAAAAAGACTTTAAATAATGCTTTGCATCAACCGTGGAGGGCAGCATCACTACACAGTATGGACTGAACCAAGCCATGACAGTTCTTCCACTGAAAATGAGTCTGAATCTTTTGCCAAGTGTTTGTAACCTCCTGTAGAGAAGAACTGCTTGTCAATATCTAGTTTCATTATCAAGGCTAAGATTTTGTCACAGGTATTTTTAGTAAAAGTCACAGACAGGACGCGGACAATAAACAATAAATCACAGAAGCCTGAACCCCGCCATGCGTGGGGCTGACAGCCTGAACCCTGGCATGTGCAGGGCTAAAGCCAGAGCCAAAGAAGTCATGGAGATCTGTTAAAGTCACAGAATCCATGACCTCCATGACCAAATCATATCCTTACTCATTATGCAGACACCCAGCAAATAAAACCCATTAAGATGATTATGTAATATGGAAAAGCCCACTGAAGTAAGTAGGATTTTGCAAGGCAACAGTACTACAGATGGAATTTTTACATTGATTAGTATTGCAGGGGTAACATCTTTAAAGTTGGCTCTGCCGTTTTGCTACTGCCACAGAATAAGGATCCTACCCTGCAGCTAGTACCCCTCCCCTCCCAACATGGCACTATACAACTGTTTCAGCAGCTAAAGATTTGAGTCAGTGGAGCAGTGGATATCCATTCTGTTCCCACACAGCTACTGAAGATTCCAGGGGACAAAAGGAAGAGTACATTCAGGCACAAGAGCCTTCTCGGCAGAGGCGTAAGATATATCTTGTTGATCTCTCTAGCCATCGAGGCCCATCTTCTCCCAGAGAGCTATGATTAGGACCCTACCAAATTCACAGTCCATTTTAGTCATTTTCACAGTCACAGAATTTTTAAAAATAGTAAATTTCATTATTTCAGTTATTTAAATCTGAAATTTCAGCGTGTTGTAATTGTAGGGGTTCTGACCCAAAAAGGAGTTGTGGGGGGACTGCGGTATTGCTACCCTTACTTCCGTATTGCTGCAGGCGGCAGCGCTGCCTTCAGAGCTGGGCACCTGGAGAGCGGTGGCTGGGCTGGGAGCCCAGCTCTGAAGGCAGAGCCACCGCCAGCAGCAGCACTGAAGTAAGGATGGCCTGGTATGGTGTTGCCACCCTTACTTCTGCGCTGCTGCCTGCAGAGCTGGGTGCCTGGTCAACAGCTGCCACTCTCCAGCCAGCCAGCTCTGAAGGCAGCACAAAAGTAAGGGTGTAAATACCCCCTTAATATAACCTTGTGACCCCTCCCCCCACAATTCCCTTTTGGGGCAGGACCCCCAATTTGAGAAACTCTGGTTTCCCCTGTGAAATCTGTATTGTATAGGGTAAAGCACACAAGACCAGATTTCATGGGGGGAGATCAGCTTTCACGGTCCATGATGTGTTTTTCATGGCCGTGAATTTGGCAGGGCCTTAGCTATGACTGTCAAGCTTCTACACACTGCAGTGTCTGAGGAAGGGTAGGAACCACAGAACAGAGGACACTTAAAAAAGAACCAAGACTCTAGGATGGGGGAAAGAGTGAAGACAGACATGAAAACAGATGCAAATTGCTTCATTTTGGCATGAAGATCAGCAGCTTTTTTCAGCTATCAAGCTATTGCAGCTATTTAGATCAGAGCTGAAACATTCAGAAACATGACCACCACCTACTTAAAAGAGTGCTGGTGAAAGACACCAATAAATTAAGTCATAGCCCTGTAGTATTTCACTCTTACCTCTAGTAAAGAATGTGAGTGTGGATGGAGCATACTTCTTATTTTATGTAAAGAACACCAAAAGGTATCAGATTGAGGAGTAAGACACAAAACTTTGTTTAAAAAGTTGAAATTTCAACCAGTTTTGACAAAAAGCTGAAGAGAAAAATGGACTGTTTACTTTTTTGTACTGTAGATAGAGCTATTTTAAGATTAAAAAACAAGACTGAAGCACAGGCCACTTTTCAGACATTTACTGGATACAAGTGAAGAGAAGGAGTACTAGTGGCACCTTAGAGACTAACCAATTTATTTGAGCATAAATGAGCTACAGCTCACTTCACTGGATGCAGTCATTAAGGTGGAGGTTTTCAAAAGGCACAAATGACAGGTAAGTGCCCAACTGTCATTAGCATTTTTGCAAAAGCTGCTGCAGAACTCCTAAGAAAGATGGCTCACAGTAGTAAAGCTTGCAAACCTATATTACTACTTTCCAGGAACACCAACAGTGTCCAGCACTAGAGGTATGAACCTGAAAAGCTTACTCTCTAAAAATGGCATTGTTATAATATACCAGATGAAATGTATCATATTGTAGATATATGTCTGAAAAATTTTCTCCCTCATTCCTGCTGGAAACCAGTAACGAATCTAGTTCCAATTTTCACTGCATTAGGTTCTAACTAAGGAAGGGTCTGACTTCAAAATACAAAGCGTCAAGTTACCTTGGGAACGTGACTCTCTTTTGAAACCTTGACCTTGCACAGTCATTTGTCTGCTAGAGGTGTAACTCCAATGGTAGCAACTGCAGAAAAGCTAGCACAGGCCAAACACAATCATTTTCACCATTGTATCATCTATTATCATGTGGCAGAGCTGCTTGTGTCTCATACAACTTGGCACTTCACTTCCACAGCTGCTCTCTCACTCATGGCGCTAGCATCTGAACCCATGCCCCCCTTTAAATGAGAACCTCAAGGAGCCGGTCAGGTTTTGTTTTTCAAAATAGAGGTTCCTTTAACCCTCAAGCTTCCTACTCAGCCCGAAGCCTTCCACAACAGGAAACGAGGCAGAAGGGGAGGCGAACTTCGTGTACTTCTGTGAGCTGTTCCCGGCCAGGCCCCGGCGTGCTGCTCTAGTTGTTCAGAAGGTAAACACGCAGCACGGCCTAGCCGAGGCGAGGCTGAGCAAAACGGCCCATGGCCAGAGGGGCTCTTAGCTCGGTTCGTTCCGCTAGCAGGGTCAGGGGCGGCCAACATGCACACGCTCGACAGCTGCTACCAGATCAGAGGCACTGAAGCAAATTCGCCTGGGCTATTGTAGCCGGAGCAGCGTCCGGAGCTGGAAGTCCGGGCTTTGAGGCGAACGAGCAGGACATGTCCCTGCTGAGGGGCATCACGTCAATTACAGACGCGCTACACAACTAGGGAGCCCCCCCAGCCGGGCTCGAGAGGCAGTAACCCCCCCCCCGCCCGCCGGGCTCGAGAGGCAGTAACCCCCCCCCCCCAGCCGGGCTCGAGAGGCAGTAACCCCCCCCCCCCAGCCAGGCTCGAGAGGCAGTAACTCCCCTCCCCCCCCCCCCCAGCCGGGCTCGAGAGGCAGTAACCCCCCCCCCCCCCCCGCCGGGCTCGAGAGGCAGTAAACCCCCCCCCCCCCAGCCGGGCTCGAGAGGCAGTAAACCCCCCCCCCCCCCCAGCCGGGCTCGAGAGGCAGTAACCCCCCCCCCCCCCCCCGCCGGGCTCGAGAGGCAGTAACCCCCCCCCCCCCCCCAGCCGGGCTCGAGAGGCAGTAACCCCCCCCCCCGCCAGCCGGGCTCGAGAGGCAGTAACCCCCCCCCCCCCCCCCAGCCGGGCTCGAGAGGCAGCTCAGGGCCCGAAGGAAACACCAGCGCAGTAACTTTGCCCTGCCGCACCCCAGGGACACCGGCCCCGCCTCCTTCCCCCTGCCCGGAGGGGACCCCGGCCGCGCCTGGGGGCGGGGGGTCTGTGACTTGCCCAAGGTCACAGGGCGAGCCAGGGGCAGTGCCGGGCACGGAACCCCCGGCCCCCGCCGCGCTCCCTTCCCTGCTCTGGGCCCAGCCCTGGCGCCTTCCCCGCGGCTTGCAGGGGGGGGGGGGAGCTGGGGGAGGAGGTGACGGGAGGGGGCCGCCGGACGCCCGGGGGGGGGAGTGGAGGGGAGCCGTGGCCAAGCCGCCGGGGCCAGGCCCTGCCCAGCGGCGTGGGGTACTCACCCGGCTTGGCCGCTCCGCCTCCCCCTGGGCCGCTCCGTCCGACCCTCACCTCCCGCGACCCCCGCTTCATTGAGCCGCCGCGGCCAGCCAGGCTCCCTGCCTCCTTCCGGCCCGCGCCGCGCCTGCGCCGCCTGGCCGCCACGTGACCGCGCCCCCTCCGACCAGAGAGAGGCGAGGACGTGGGGAAGGGAAGGGCGGTCGGAAGGGGCCCGTCTCCGGGAGCGCACCATAGAGGGCCCGGGCTGGTCCTCCTGCGGCCCCCTACCTGCGCGGGAGGGAGCGGGACCCTAGGGCCCGGGATGGCTGGGGGGGAGCGAGGGAATCAGAGCCTGGGGGCGGGGCCATGGTGGGGAGGGGGGCAGAGCACTAGCTGCGGGGGCAGATGGACCCACCCCCAGTACAGCCCTGGGGGCCCCGCATGAGGGGGACTGGGGGTGGAGAACAGAGCCCGGCCCGGGCTGGGCTTTGCCCCCTCCCTGGCAGCGCAGACCCCCAGCCGATGGGGTGGGATGGCAGAGGCCCAGCTGACGGGCCATCATGTGGTGGGGTGGGAGCACGAGGCTAGAGCAGGGTTCCCTCTAAGCTGTGCGCATGTACACAGATCCTAAACCCCACACATTTAATTTGCACAGAAGAAATATTTTACACACAGAGCCTGTCAAAAATTAGAGGGAACATTGGCCTGGATAGTGGAGCCCACAGGGCCAGGGGGTGCAGAGGTAGACTGGCTTCAAGATGGCCAGCAGACCCCTAAAAGTGAAGAGGCTGACATGGGCCACTGAATGATCTTCATATGTACCAAATTTCCCCCTAGTAACAGGGCGACTGCAAGATCCAGATCCACCCCCCTGAGATACAAGGAGAGCAAATGTCTGACCTGCAGTAAAGGTCAGGGGTGTGCCCAAGACCCATGACTCATTGCAGCCCCAAGGTGGTACCTAGCCCTCATGCCCTGCCAGCCCTTTGTCGAGGGTGAGTTTCAGCCCCAGGGAGCAGAGGTTCAGTTCCTGGTTGAACGCAGGTTATTGCTGGGTGCCAATCCTTTGTCTCAACCACCCAGACCTGTCATAAGCACTTTACAGGCTATTCCCCTTGGGACACTGGACTGGCTAGAAGTGATAATACAAACTTCAATATAACTACTGTCTTATAGTAGTGTGTGCTTACTGAAACAGTACAATACAGGGATAAATCACAATGACCTTAAAGACAGGTTTCAGAGTAACAGCCGTGTTAGTCTTTATTCGCAAAAAGAAAAGGAGTACTTGTGGCACCTTAGAGACTAACCAATTTATTTGAGCATGAGCGAAAGCTCATGCTCAAATAAATTGGTTAGTCTCTAAGGTGCCACAAGTACTCCTTTTCTTTTTGCGAATGACCTTAAAACAACTGAAGATGATCTTATATCAGGTAAACATCAAAGAAAATAAAATTTAAAATAATAAAAAAGAGGCACAATCAGTTTCTATGAGGTCAATACACTAGTGAAATAGTACAATTCTGTTCCATTCCATGCCCTGGGCTCTATTCTTCCTCCCCCACTCACTCCATCCCATCCCATCCCTTTCCCTTAGCTCTTTTCTGTCCCCTCCCCATCCCATTCCCTTCCCAGGGTGAGCTTGAGCAAGTCACTCCAGTGCTAAGTGCCTCAGTTTCTTCATCTGTAAAAGGGGACTAATACTGACTGCTATAAAATGCTTTGTGATCTACTGATGAAAAGCGCTATATAGGGGCTAGTCATTATTACATGAAACCACAGAAATTCATAGCAAAGGGCATTGCTACAATGAAGTAAAAAAGCAACACTAACTAGTAGGTAACTTTTGACTCTATGGGCTCATGGTGATTCTGAATTAGCTTTCTAGTTCTCTAGCTATTTATGTTGCTCACATCACCACAGTATCTGAATGACTCATATTGAACTCAATATAAATAACTGACTCAATTAAGATGACAAAAAGAACAAGGTGTTTTTCCCCCACTTATCTGTAGAAGAAATAAACCTAAGCCCATAACCCTGCTATAGAGAAGCATTTTGTATTTCCATATAAACAAAAAATGCTGGTTATAAGGCAACCACTGTGCAACTCCCATCAAATAAAAAACTGCTATCTACTGGGCTCTAATAAAAGGACTATGATAAAATTGCCAGCACCCTCATGGACACTTCTTTTTCTACAGCCTTTCCTACAACTCTTGGAGGCTGGAAAAGTCTGATCTACATGCCCAAGACATTTGAAGGGGTCTCTGAACTGCTAAATGTGCAACAAAGCACTCCTAACCAGCAAAAAGACAAATCATGCATGTCATGGTTCCTGATTTCCTATAAGTTAGTCATGCCTCCAGTAGACAAAAATGGTTTCAACTGGATAAAAATCAGAATCCTAATGTTTTGCACTCAGTTTGCCCAGGTCTGCATGACCATACAAGGTGCAAGGCAGTGAAGAATCAGGCTCCTAGAATGTAACATACCCACAAATGGATCAAGTAAGGAGTCCTTGTTCAGTCTCCACTCCAGTTGAAACTAACATCTAACTGACAAGCTTTTCACCTCTGGATCACACTGTTCCAGATCTCAAATGTGCAGTAACCAGGTAAAAATCAGCACAGTTGGTTAAAGCAACATAGTCCACAACCCACTAGTCTGAAGTCAGAAAAGACTTGCTGTAAATACAGTCAGGCACTGTGGCCCTTCTGGAAAGAAATTTCATGAAGATCAGTATGTTGAGGCAAGGAGCCAGGTGACAGAGCACAAACCTTCCAATCAGACATTCATACAAGGTACATTGCAACAGAAAATGCAGTTTCAAAAAGGGTCACCACATAGAGACTGACTCACAGATGAAAAGAGGAGGAAACGTTTTCATATACAAACTGTCAGGCTGGAATTTATTATTTGTATTCCCACAATGCCCATGGGCTGCAGTCAGGGATTGGGGGCCCATCATACAAGATGCAGTACAAACAAATAGTAGAAAGACAGCGCCTGCTCTAAAGAGTTTACGTTAATGACAAGGCAGCAGGTGGATGCAGCAAACAAATGGATAAGATTGGGAGGGAAACCAGATAGCAGTAATATGAGCAAGTTACTGCCTAAACTAACAGTGTGACAGGCACAAGTATGAACTTTCTGATTGATTTAGGGGCAGCTGTAAATCTGGTAGATGGCCACGCTATGCCCAGCTGGAGGATAAGAATAAACTAGTGTCAAACAAATACATAAATAAAAATAACAAAGATTTTCGAGTATGGAAATTGTAAGCCACTATCCAGACTGAGCTTATTCAAAATAAAAGTGACAGAGTAGATCAGCCACAAAACTATATTTAGTATGGCAAAAACCATCAGGAAACCTGCTTGAATATAGCCAGTGCCACTAACAATGGATCCAGTGGATCACTGACTTATCCAAGCCTGCCCTGTGGAACCCTGTCAGATGTAAAACACATTCTCAGACGGAAAGAAACATCTGACTGTACTGAGGGTTGAAGAACTCTTTCATTGACACTTGAACGGAAATTCACGGAGCCTTGTTACTTGATCAGTAAGCCTTGGTAACCCTGTTTAGAAACCCTAAAGGAGGAAACTAGTTTTGCTGTAGGACATGCAGCTGAAAAGACCACCCCTTTCCCTACACTCTTGTCTCCAACATTTATTATTATTTATTTGTATTACTGAGTAGTACAGAGAGAAGGTCCCTGTCCCAGCTAGCACCAGGCTACGCCATTTAGTTAGATGATTAAAAAACATATTACAATGCCAGGCAGCGTACGTATTGGTATTGCAATCTGAGGAACTAGTTGTTTTATTAGCTGAATTTATTGCATTTGCGCATGGAAGCGTCAGTGCAGCTCCACTCCATCCCTATGTAGCACCAGATATTACTAGGTAGCGGTTTCCCGGAAGATTTTCACAATAGAGTGTTTTCACCGAGATTAAACTTGAAGCAGGACTGGCAGGAGGCTAGGTTGAACTGGAGTATCCTGTAAAACTCTCTTTTCAGTCAATCAAGTATTAAAGAGCAGCACTGGTGGGTTAATTAATTAGGGAGGGCTACATGCTGGCTTTTCCAGCAAAAGGTGCACCGGAGAGGGGCAGATGGGCCGCGCTGCAGAAGAAGCCCCCAGGAAAAAGCCTCATTGACTCAGTGAAAATTCCTTCTGGGGCTCCTAAAGGAACTGGAGTAGAAGGTGTTCACTCCATACCTGGATAACTCTGCTGGCTTTTGTAAAGAGGGTAGGGGGACTCAGCCATGGCTCTCCCTTGCCCCTGCCTCTCCCTGCAACCTTTTGGGTAGCTAGTAAAGGTGGCCATGCTAGCAGGGTCTATGCTGCCCAATGGAACCATACTTAGTCCCTGCACAGGGGTGCAAGTGGCAGGGGGAGGCTTCTTGTACCCTCTCCCCCCTTCTGTGCACCTACTGGTGGCTGGGCACAGTCTGGCCCTTTAGGTTTTTATGGCACTGGAAAATAAAAGCAGCAACAACTAGAAAAAAATTTTTTCCCTGCCCCTAGGGGCTCTAGGCCAAGTTACTTTCTCAGATCTACAGGGTATCCCCTTTTGGCTTCATTCTCACTCACAGCCTGTCCGTCAATGGGATTTGCGCACGCATCATTCTAGGTGCAGATTTGCAGCTGAATGTGGCCTCTCTTCTCCCATCTCCTTTTCCAGTTCTTTGTCTCCTCCTCCTCATTCCACTCAGATTGGGGCAGGGGCCATCTTTCATTACATGTGCACAATGCTGCCCTGACCCCTGACTGGGGGCTACTGCAATGGAAATTATAAAAAATAAATTCCTTTCCTCCATTCCTCCCTCTCCATTTCCTTTCTAATTCATAACAACATAAGAACAGCCATACTGGATCAGACTAAAGGTCCACTTGGCCCAGTATCCTGTCTTCTGACTGGTCAGTGCCAGGTGCCCCAGAGAGAATGAACAGAACAGGTTATCATCGAGTGATCCATCCCCCAGTACCCATTCCCAACTTCTGGCAAACAGAGGCTAGGGACACCCTCCCTGCCCATCCCAGCTAATAGTCATGGATGGACCTATCCTTCATGAATGTATCTAGTTCTTTTTTGAACCCTCTTATAGTCTTGGCCTTCACAACATCCTCTGGCAAGGAGTTCCAC